CATGCTCTCCTATTCTAAACAATGCATGTGCATTGGGATCAAGGGTGTAGAATCCAGTGCTATACTGTGATAGGAAGGGAATGTAACCTGGTAGGGTGAAAACTTCAGCCACAATTAATTCCTTGGAACAATTTTTTTTGGTAGAGCAATACCTTTCAGCTTATGGTCTTCTTCAGGGTCCAGGGAAGGATATGAAATTTAAGTTATTTTTGTCTGTATGTCCCTATTTTTTTTGTGTCAATTTCAGGAACGGAAAAATAACGGTTCTATATGCCCTATATCTACATGTTTTTAACCTTTCCCTTTACTTTACTTCCTTTAAAACAAACTTAGGTTCTACTTTTGTAGTTTAATGCATTTTCAAATATAGTCAATTATTCTGGTTCTCATTATAGAGGGACATTTTAATGCTGTTTAAAAGCCCGAAATGGGTGAGATAATTGTTAGCCAATTTCTTGGCTAGTAAGTCCATCATTTATACTTTGACGAGGCATCATGGGTTCTAATGATACAGTACTTATACCTGTGGCCAAAACAGAGAAAAAAAAAGAAAAAGAAGACAGAACTGCAGTTTTCTTCTGCTAATTCTCGTAGCTCGCATTCATACGTACGGTTTTTTTCTTTAACTTTAACTTTTTAACCTTATGTTGACTTGCCATTAGTGTTTGGGTTGAGCTGGATGTGGGACCCTTCTGAATATCCACAAAATCCATCTTAAATATATAACACTTCATTTGTTTACCAGTTAGGACCCATTTTTAATATGGACAAGCTTAACGTGGCATCCCCAAGCAGCGCAGAGACTTCAAACCCAAACTACATTCTAGAAAATAGGCTACAGGCTTCAGCGCTTATCAAATATGTTTTAGTCATATAGGGTCAAATAAAAAGGCTATTTTAACAATATTTTTCAGAAAAAAAAACTTACATAATGTCTCTTCAAGTTTAAGCATCCAGCATTCAAGATCTCTGGGGGTGAATAATTTTCTTCATCTTTGAAGAAAGTATTATGTGGCCCAGTAGTGAATTACTAATAGATCATCACAACAGTTTTTGAGACACAATACCTTCACTTCAGTGGTAGTTCACATGAAATTAGAAAAACAATATCAATAGCATTGTATATTGACATGTGATCATATTGTAAAACTTAAAGTCCACATTTGTTTTGTGAATCTGCAGAAGGGTTTTGACTGTACCATCTAAGGGTTTTTTTCAGCTGCTGCTGGGAAAGTAAAATTACTTTACTGTACAAAGATATTTGGTCTTTGTTCAGAAGTAAGAGAACAACAAAAAAAAGCAAAGGACTGTATGAGTGTGATTTACATGCCAGCCTTCACATGGTGTTTGTGATATTGCTTATGTTTGAAAAATACATGATCATTGATAATGAAGTGATTAAAGTGGTTGGGCTTTACCCATATATAAGGCTGATAAGTTGTATTCTTTACTTTGACAAAATAAGAGTGCTTCTTAGCGGGCTGCTCAGTGGCGCAGTGTTTAGCACTGTTGCCTTGCAGCAAGAAGGTTCTGGGTTTGATTCCTGGCCTGGGGTCTTTGTGCATGGAGTTTGCATGTTCTCCCTGAGCATGTGTGGGTTCTCTCTGGGTACTCCGGCTTCCTCCCACAGTCCAAAAACATGACTGTTAGGTTAATTGGCTTCTCTAGATTCTCCTTAGGTGTGAGTGTGTGTGTGAATGGTTGTTTGTCCTGTTTGTCTCTGTGTTGCCCTGCAATGGACTGGCGACCTGTCCAGGGTGGACCCCGCCTCTCGCCCATTGACTGCTGGAGATAGGCACCAGCACCCCTCGCGACCCCAATTGGGAGAAGCGTGTCAGATAATGGATGGATGGAGTGCTTCTTAGTTTATATCAATAGGAGTGAGTTAAGATGGATAGGGGATTCATACGGGATGCGCTCTGTTTACCCGTCTTTGGAAGTTTTTTTATTGCCGATCTCCAATTGACTTTAGAGTCTTTGGAAGGTATTACATATGCTCTTTTCCCCTGGGAACATCTAGGGTTCCCCCATGGTGCACTAAAGAGTCTTCTTTGGGATGGAGATGCCTGGGAACCCCTCTGGATGGATGGATGGATGGATGGATGGATGGATGGATGGATGGATGGATGGATGGATGAAAAAAGCTGGATTTATTTTATCATGAACATTGTGTTCAACACGTGAGATCTTCTGATTTGTGCTTGAGTTGCATTAATCAGATCATCCTTCTTAATTTAATGGATTGAAATCTTTCTTACATGCTCCATTCTCAGGTAAAAATAACCTGATTATAAGGGATCAATTGCAAGAGCTGAAGAGGACAACTGGCAGCTAACATCTATTTATTGAAAAAGCCACTCCACTGCCTGGCTCTCTTTGGCCTTCCATACTTCTATGAGCATTAAGTGTTTTCTTCAATTTGCACCCAGAATGAGCACAATGGCACAGGTTCCCACATCTGCTGCCAATTTTGTATTCAATACCACAAAAGTCTCTTTCAGGGTAATGAAAAAACTCATTTGATTATGCAGCAATTACATCAACACTCTTTGCTATGAAAGTGTAAAGGGGCCAGGATCCCAAATATAAAAAGCTGGTTATGATTTGGTTATGACTGTGCCCTTTTTGACCAAAACAGATGTTTGAAATGATGACAGTATCCAGCAGCGCTACTCACTTCCAGTAAATGTTATCTTGCAGTAAATTCGACCTGTTTGTGCTTTACATTAATAAAGAGTTTATAGTTAATGCATTTCACCCAGTGTTATATGCAAAATCAAAGCAAGAAGAGGTTGAGTCAAAATGTGAGGGATGGCTTTAATCATCCAACAAGAGATAATCTTGCTTATGTTTCTTTTTTTCACAAAATCTTTGAGATACAAATGTGTCGATAGGGTGGCCAGAAGTCCGGCTTCAGTCCGGATTTTAATTGCACCCGATGCACATTTGTCCTTTTTTATGAGGCACGAGGCTTAAAGAACAGATTTATTTCCATTTCTGTGGGGCTGCAGCACAATATATAATCATAAAAAGTAAAAAAAAAAATACCTTAAGTATCTGGTATAACAGATGATTGGCCAAAAGTGGTGCAATGTCAGATAAATATCTGTTTGTCATTGGTTAAAAAAGTAAAAAAAGGATCAGACTGCTGCTAAGTTATACATTGACAGAAAGTTAGCATCTTGCCAAAACACAAGACTCTGTTTAACTCTGAATGGACAACAGAGCATGAATTTATGATGAAAAGTAGTTGAGACTCTGGCTTCTGCACATTTTGTCGATGTGATTTGGACATAAGCTGTTGAGGGAAAAATGCAATTGAACGGCATGTGAGTATGGATTAATGTAAAACTAATAAATGTGCACCAGGTCACTCTTTAAATAGGGCTTTTTTTCATGAACTCATCAATCCTGAATGCCAAAATTATTTCTACGGAGCTGTACAAGCTGTATCACACTGTAAAACATAACCAGTCCAATGGAAGTTTAGATTGTGGCGTGAAAGTGGACCGATTTTCAGGGACTCGCCCACAGCTAAAGGGACGACCTTTAAGACAGCAGGTCTGCTGCACACTGTGGTAACATTTTGAACAGCACAATGTATTGAGTAAATGCAAATAAACGGTAAACCAATTATTTTTGACTTTTCATTATATTTCCTATTCAGCTTAGTAATTGATGCCACATAATGTCCTCCTTTTTGGTGCTATATATATAGATTAAGGAGGACCTGAATCATGGTTAAAATAAGAAAAAGAGTGAAACTGATAGGGGGGGTGTAAGATGATTGATTCAAAGGTTTGGGGTACCCCTAGAAAATCAGAGCAATCTTCTACAATGTGCCCAATGCAAGGCATTGCCAATATTATTGTTCCTTTGTTTAGTTGATGTTATTTATGGTTGGGGGGATCATAATGGTGTAGTAAATATAATCAAGCAGAGGCTTTTGAACACTGTTTTTATGAATTGTAAATGGCTATTCCAAGACTAGCAAAGGAACATCTATTATCACAACACAGAGAGTGGAGGAGTGTTTCTTAGGATCTACTCTAATGGCACACCCGGATCCTAATAATTCAGAAAATGTGGATCAATAAGACTGCTTATGAGACAGGCACCAAAGTATAAGCAGATGACCCAGTTTCTTTTGCAGAAATAAACACTACCATCTTCAGCTAATCAAATTGACAAATAAATGGCTCCAGTTTGGAACAATTAGAGAGCTTTTTTTCTGATTGAATTTGTTGATAAAATAAGCATTTAGGCTGAAGACAACACCATCATTACAGGGAGTTATCTCAGCATCCTGTCCTTTCTACTCTCTTCCTGTTCTCAGCAGCGACAGCCAATTACATTTTCAACACAAAGCACATAATGGAAACCAATTTAATGCTCCAAGTGAAACCAACCCAGTGACCTCTTTTCAATGTCTTCCTAAGCAGCTGTGTGTGGAGGCCCAGTCCGAACTGGATGCTGACACCTACAGACACTGAATGATGCATTATGTAGAGATCCAACAGAATCTATAAGAGTTCACTACCATATTCATATTGAAATAATCACCTAATGCGTAAAGTTGTGCTTTATCAATATTATCTTGAATAGTTTTAGTGTGCAGGAGGCTCCAATGTGCAAACCACCTGTGGTTTTACAGTACATTATAGAGGGAAAAAGCAGAGAAATTGAACAGACACAGAAAATTTTAAGACATATGAAGAAATCAGCTGGTAACTGAAAGAATAAAGCTTCAGCTTGACCAAACCAGATGGGTGAAAATGTAAAAAATCCAACCTGCATTTAGTGAACGTTAGATGTGCTACCAGGCTGAGCTTAGCTGGAAGTAGTTGATGTACCTTTAACGAAGGATGCTGGAGGAACTTTCATTCTATTCTCTCCAAGGTTAAACTAATAAAGCCCATTCTGAATGCAAAAGTATAAAGGTTTGGATCTGTTTAGCTATATTCCAGCATTAAGTATAGCTGGCAGTGCTTAAAACCTACCAAGATCCATGCTTTTGGACTTGCGGTTCTTGATGATGTCCAGATGAGCTGGGCTGTCATACTGCTTGGAGCGCTTTTCTGACATACTCTGGCGGGCGAAGCCTTCTCTCTGGAATGCAGCATCAGGTTCTGCATCGGGACTTAGAGAGCTGTAACGTATCAGGAAGAAAGAGGGAAAATGATGAGAGGCAGATTAAATATATTGGTAAGAAATGTATTTAATTGCAAGATTTTGCACTGCAAAATATTTATATCTATGTAAGACGTTTTTTTTTTAACATAAGTGCATTTTTGTGAGACACTTTGCCAATAGGATAAGACAATTTACATTAAAAATAAGAGAAAACAACTGCAGTCTCTTATCTCAAGTGCATAATATCTAATTTTCTTATTTTAAGGGTAAAAATGATAATTCAATTGGCAGATCATCTTATTTTCCTACCACAATGTACCCAACTTCTGATGGCTACTTTCAGCAGGATAATGCGCCATGTAATAAAGCTGGAATCATCTCAGACTGGTTTCTTGAACATGACAATGAGTTCACTGTACTCAAATGGCCTCCAGTCACCAGATCTCAATCCAATAGAGCATCTTTGGGATGTGGTGGAACAGGAGATTCGCATCATGGATGTGCAGCCGACAAATCTGCGGCAACTGTGTGATGCCATCATGTCAATATGGACCAAACTCCCTGAGGAATGCTTCCAGCACCTTGTTGAATCTATGCCATGAAGAATTGAGGCAGTTCTGAAGGCAAAAGGGGGTCCAACCCGTTACTAGCATGGGGTACCTAATAAAGTGGCCTATGATATATAAATTAAAAAGGCTGAAATGCTGAAAGAATACATTGTTTTGGACTAGGACTAGAGTGTGTGTGTATATATAATTAGCTAATCCATTGTATGTTCCTGATAAATCATATTAATTTTGTCACCTGGTACTATTCTGACTCTGAATTTGAGCACTGTTCTTCTCTAAAAACTCAGAGCTAATTCAAATATACAGGTTTTCTGAAATAGACCTTACTTCTTAACAAAGTTTAACAGGGTTGATTTCAGGGCAGTTCCAGAGCTTAAAGGTATAGTGGAGGATCTCGCGAATTTTTGAAAAGACCTGCCCTCTCCACTTTGAAAAAAATGCACATGCACAACTTTGTGCCGGCTCCAGAGAGGGAACGCCTATTAAAAGTGTGTGAAAGCGTGCACAAGCCCATTTCTCCTCATGTCTAAAAATTGCTGTTTGCATTGCTTATACAAGCTTACTTTCCAAAAGAAGATTCGCAATTTTTCCACTATGTCAGACTCACCACCGGTAAGTGCAAATGGGGACGAGCACGTAGGACGGCCTTACGTAAATATATCACCAAAATGATTGACATTTAGGAGGAACACTTATTTTGATGATCCACCAGGAAAAAGAACATCCTCCACCACACTTTACCTCTACTTTTGTTGTGAGGTTAGGATCCCTGTAACCAAGGTTCCAACATCTAGCTCCAGTTCTTCATTATTCCTTTGACTTTATGCAATGTATGACTATCACTGGATGCAAACCAGGCCCACAAACTAAAGGCTGGTTTATGCTTGACACAGGTCATCCACATGGCAATGAAGATCAGTGAAACCCAGTAGTTTCACAGCTTTTCCCAAATACTGGCCAACTCTAAGGGGGCATGTAATGGCACAGAGCGTCAATCAAGATTCAATCGAAAAACATATAGAAGTAGAATACAGTGTTGTTTCCAGCATTTTCAAAGCCTCTTTGTTTTTTTCCAATAGCTGTTCACAACCTGTTGATCATTGTGATCATTATGGGCCAAATCATAAAGACGCCTCTAGATGTTTATACATGTGCACCGTCTTGAGCAGAAGCTGTCATTTTTCCACAATGTTCTTCTCTGCAGAAATGTTACAAATCTTCCTGGTGTGTGTGGTACACTGGAAAAAATTGAAATCTAGATAAGTCATTTTTTCTTAAAAAAGGTGCATTTATTCTTCGACTGAGGAGGAAAAATAGAAATTTTGTCAATGGAACAAGACAACTTACACTTAAAATCAGAAAACACAATTGCATTGTCTTATTTCAAGTGCAAATGATCTAATTATCTTATTTTAAGAGTAAAAATACTCATTCCACTGGCAAAGTATCTAATTTACCTACTAAAATTAAGGGTAAATACGCTTAATTTAGGAAATTTTAGCTTATTTCTAGATGGTTTTTCCAGTGGACGATCAGGTTAGTGTCAATGGCATGTGCTGTGGCATTGATGCTAAAATGGCATCATTTTTTCAGCATAAACCAGGCTGTCACCATCATATATGACAGGGCCTAAATTGCTCTGTCAACTCAGGGTATTTGCAAAAACTCTCAGTCTGTACTGATGTTAAACTCGTATAACTGTTGTTTCAGCACCATCTGGTTCATGATCACCTTCAGCCTAGAAGATTCCTGGATTGCTTTAAACATCCTGACAAACTGCAGGGTGATGGTTTTATTCAGATGCTTGAATTTGGACATTAGACATGATGCACAATATATTAGGGCTAGGGACAGAAAATATGGACAAGGCAGGCTAACATGAAGTGTATCGATTTAACCAAAATTTCGTGGTTAAGCCTGTGTATGTAACTTTGAACCTGCTTTGGCTTAGAAGAAATCCCTTAATTAAAATAAGTAAGCACAGAAAAATGTCAAAGGATGTATAATGTTCATTAAAATACACCTGAAATGCTAAAAATAGAGTTAGAAAGTCATTGGAAATGTGTTTAAATAAATACATTTAGTAGAACCTTTATTTTGTCTTTGGAGCTGCTGGCACTTGTTTGCATTTAAATAATTCCTTTTCAGGATGTCAACCCTATTTAACAAAATACCTGCTTTGTGTGTAACAGAGGGGCTGGTGACAACTTGTCACTTTGCCATCGACCATACCTGACAATCCTAACTAAGATCAGACTGTCTCACAGGGCCAACTCCAGATGACACGGGGAGAGAGTGAGGCGGAGCGGGAAGAGAGGAATGACAGCACAGATGTATTATTCATTTATTCATCATCTTTTGCTTTTTTCTCCTGTCATCATTCCGGGCCCACAAAATCAGCTTGCCCTCTATTTTCCTTCTTCCACAAATGTCATTTGTCAGAGCATGACTGAGACAGTGCGGGCTAGAAAGGACACATTTTCACCCTGAATTTAGATTTAATTCACTCTGAGTCATGTTGCTTTACTGGGATAATTGAACACACACAGAACAAAGGCGGAATAAGAGGCCGGCAGTGGCAGTGTTGTTAAGTTATAGAGACTTGATGAATGTGTGACCATTCCAGAGAGTAATTATGCAGACAAACGGTCAGCATTCAGCTTGTCTGGGTGAAAATGGTGAGGAATCTGTGGGCAGTAGGAGTGAAGTTCAGTGAGACAGCGCTGCAGTAGTGTCAATTCACTTAGTAGGGAATAAGATCTGTTTAAGCTGGCAACTGTTTCAGCACCGTTTTTGATTAAATCTGAAACACACGGAGGGATGACTAAACGCACAGCATGGAAGGCTACAAAAACCTGGAGAGAAAAAGCAATTGTATTATCAAAGAACCCTCTGTCTCAACTACAAGTGATTGTTTTTGGAATTGTGTTGCCAATTTTGATTTACTGATTCAAAAGAGGCATTATTTATTTAGATATAATAGTATAATCAGGTTGGATTCCAATGTGACCAAATGTGAAATGTTTTAAATAATTTAACAAACGATAACTACCACCTATTAAACACTTTATTTAGTCTATCCACAGAATAAACTTGTTTTCTAACGGTTTTATATACACATCAAAAGAAAGGTGTCCTTATGTTCTGCTTGACCTTAGAGCAATCCACTAGTATTTGCAGAATATTATCTGATAAACCTAAATGTTCTATATACATTACAGGGTTCCGACAGAATAAGGAAAGTTAAATTCAAGACTTTTTAAGACTTTTTAATGCCACTTGAAATAAAAATTTAAGACCAAATTCACAAGAAACACAAGAAAAACCCGCTTGCGACAACTTAACCCAAAGGTTTATTTTAACATAAACCACTGCACTAATGTTTAAAATTTTGAAAAGCTTCCCATACAGGAAGAAAGCTAAAAACACACAAATGACAGATATATTTTAACTATTATTTAACTGAATTCACAAACTTTGTTTTAGCAGGGAAGAAAACAAATCAAGTGCTAAGTCTTTTTTGCAGCTATTTTTCTTTGTATGGTTTTCTTAGTATGTTTGATTTGGTGATAAGTGGAGGCGTTGCAGAGACAAGGGTGGAACAAAACCGAGAAATACCGGCTGTTTCTCGGTAACTCCATTTTGACGCTTTGTGTTTCGTGCTTCGCATGTGTGACTCCACTGCCTTAATTCCCATCGTCCAGATCTTGAATCGCTTCTTGCACAAAATCCACTGAGCCTCATGTATGTTCCCTGGTTTTAGCCATGGAGAAAACTCTTGCCTGGATAACCAAATTTCGTTACATTTACACTTGCTCATGTTTTCCAGACAAAAAGTAAATGGCGCATCTCCCAAATGTCCCAGCCGCAACAACGCTTTTATTGGTTCCGCTATCGGGATGGAACCAATAATGGTGAGCCATTATTTTTTTTTTTTATTAAAAAATTATAAATTTTAGCGTTTTATTTAGAAGACAAAAATAAATCATAATAATAATAATCCTATTTATGATGTTTTAAAAATTAAGACCTACGGAAGACTGATTTAAGACATTTTAATACCAATTAAGGCCTTAGCTTTATTTTGAAGAATTCAATGCCTTTTAAGACTTTTTAAGGACCCGCAGGAACCCTGTATATATAATAACTTTTAACCTGCTACTGGAAATGAATGGAATAGTTGCTTTATTCTTAAAGTGTTGATTGTAATGAAATATTGTTGATGAAGGTTCAGTAGATATTACACATGTCCTGAAAGAATAGTTGAGAAGATTTGAAATATTTACGATCAAATCCTTAGTCACTCTTTCTATTATATCCTCAGAGTAAAAAACTGTGAAAAATTTTGACCATATAACATCCCAGTAGTTAGATAATTTAAGAACTGATGAACTGATTGTTCACCGCCTGCATGCCTCCAGCCCATTTCCAGTAACACCAAATCTAG